ATGCCATACACTTTCACATATATTAAATCTAGAATATTTGATTAGGTTTTGAAACCTTTCATTTAATTAATTTCTTTGTTTGAGATTTAATCCTCATGATGATATACAACTTGGAATTAAAGTGTGGCATGCTAGTAATTTAGGCCTTGGTATACTTGTTAACATATATTAAATTGGACTCATTTGAATGAGAATTGCAACTTTTATTTAATATTTATCTTTGGTGAAAGTTAAATTACATAGATGTAACTTGCATGAAATAAGTTTGTAATGTGATATTACAATAGGCCTTGGCATATTCCCTAACATATGTTAATTTGAGAACATTTAGATGAGTTTGAAAATCTAGAAATTTTAATTAAAAGGATTAATTAAAATCTATTTAATGGTTCCCTTGGCTTAATTAAGTTTTTAACTTGATATTTGTAATGACCATGATTTGTTTATTGGCATATAGTAATTTGGGACCATTTGAAGTTGCTTTAGAACCTTGAGATTTAAATTAGCATGATTTAATTAAAATTTTACTTTATTGCTCCAACAACCTAATTAAGTTTTAGAATGGATATAGGTGATGACCATGCTATGTCCTTTAATATGTATTAATTTAAGGTTATTTGGAATTGAATTGGAATCTAGAGAATTTAATTGTGTTTATTTAATTAAATTCTATCTAATTGCTCCATGGATTTAATTGCATCTTGAAAGTTGTTTCTATGTTTAAATTATGGACTTGGACTTGTTGTGTATTCACTTGATTACATTTGAGCATTTGATAACATTGTTGTTATATTTAAATTCATGAGCTTATGTTTTCAATGTTGAAAGATATTGTTATAGCGTGTAACGAATTGCACACTGAAGATTCGACATTTGTCATGCCATAGTAGTTGTGGACTTAGTACATGTATTGTATGTGTTTCCAAATTTGGTTGTGCTTGGTAGATAGTTGATATCTTGGATATACATGTTGATATATACGTTGTTGCACAACTTGTTGATTTTGGAAACTTGAGAATGTCGTTGTTTGGCTACGGCTAGAACTTGGTTCTAGTACGGGGGATTGTCCCTCTATATAGTCTAGTGTATACATAGAGAGGTTACCCGTGGGCCCTAAAGTAACTATAGTGTCGGTCTGATCCGGCGTGACGTCCAAGTATCCACTTTGGTTGATTTCGCATTTCTTTTCAAGTTGATAACTAGATGATATCGTAACTTGTTATTCTTTGTTTGATTTACAATTTTAAGTTGCAAGATGTTAACTTTGAGAAATCATGCTTTATGTGTTGTATTGGAAGTTTCAATGTTGGTTAAATTGTATCGATATCATGATTTGTGTTTTGATATTCAAATGTAATTTAGGAATGATCCTATAGATTCATTTTGAACATAGACGTTAGGTGGCATGACACACTCTTGTTGTTTTCGTATTATAGGTTTCAAGTTGATGACTTTGAGAATCTATATCTTGTTGCTTTGTATAACATGTTTTTATGTTGTTGAAATGCATGAATGATGTGATTTATGCTAGAAACACTCTAAGGTAGCTTAGGATGCTTCCTGAGTCTCATTTTGATATAGACGTTAGGTGGCATGAACCCCTTTAACATGTTTCACCATAAGGTGATAAAATGGTAAAATGCTAGGTCGATGCATGCTCATCTCCTACGAGTAGGTTTATGTTACTCACCCATGTAGTTGGGACATTTTTCAAGTACAGGAATCATTGTTGAAATTCTCATTATGCTTGGATGATTTGTGGACTTAAAGATTTCCATTCTTGTGAAGGTTGGCTTGAAATGCCATTTGTAGCTATTTTATCAAATGTGTATATTTGATTCCAAACTTGTATTATGTGCTTAAGCACACTTTTTGATATTCATTCTATGTATATAATTTGTGGCCAAGGGCCAAACTTTATTTGAAATCCATGAATATTCATGAATTTTGAATTTTGCCTTTAATGAGAAAAGTATGAAAATTAGGGTTTTGATATGTCATTCTCGCACTGGTGTGTGCATTTTGTGTGAAATTCATCTTTTAGCATTCATTTGCCATATGTGAGGTGTGGCCAAGGGTCAAACATCATTTAGTTTTCATTTTTGCATTTTAGTTTACATATTGCATTTTTGGGCTAAAATAGTAGAAACCGAGCCTTTAAGGGTTCATTTTTAAATCGGGTAGTGTAAAGTGTATTCCGGCACCTCCACTAAGTCTCATTTATCTTGTATGAAGTGTGGCCAAGGGCCAAACGGTCATTTGAAACCATTTCCTAATTTTGGTTTCCATATTTTTCATTTCAAGTTCATTTCCGCCTTTTTGGCCGTTGGGGGGTCGGATTTTGACTCGGCCATTTTCAGGAGCTGCGGACCATTCCTGCGCGCTCAAAATCACCATTTACGTCTACGTGCATGATCGTTTCCGGGAAAAACCATTTCCTTTGTGATTTGAACCTCTTATGGAATCATTTTTTTCAACTTTCTTGCATAATCTGATTTTAGGGCATTTTGGGGTTTTCCTTCGGGAAATAAATTCCGATCTTCACATGGTCAATTAGAATACGTGATTTTAGGGGGGGTTCCTTTTTCGTGTTTTTCCAGAAAATGTCATCTTGGTACCAGAAATCCCTCGTGAAGTTTTAACTTTCAGTTTTCATTTTTGCAGCTTTTTAGCTCTCTTGACCAGATTTCTTGGGAGGGCATTTTAGTCATTTTGCAGCGAGTTTTTTTTTTCATTTTCTCTCATGTGGATGGGTAGAAAATTTGATTTCGGGAGGGGTTTCTACTTTGTGTTTTTCCAGAAAAATTCGTTTGGTAGCCCGTTTTCAATCACAGATCTTGTAGCAGCTTTTTGCCCTCTTGTCCAGTTCTAATCTAGGGGCATTTTGGGGATTTTACAGTGAGTTTTTTTTTTTTTTCGTTTTCTTTGACCCAATTGGGTAGAAAACTCGATTTTAAAGGGGGTTTTTTCTTCGTATTTTTCCAGAAAAATCCGTTTCGGCTCTCAGTTTTAGCTGAATTTTTCTCTTTCCTAGCATGTCATGGTGCATGCCATCGGACGCCGAATGGGGGCGCCGGCATTGGCGCCGGGCGCGCATGAGGCATGCCATGGCCTTTGTCGGGCCGCCGCGACGTCACAACTTCAAACACTCGTTTCTCTTTCGTCCGGACTCCAAATCGAGTGAATTTTTTTTTGTACTTAACTAATTTTTCACTGTCTTTCAAATGGTATGCTTGGTTGCACCCAGTTCTTCTTTGATAATTACCAATTTACCCTTTTAGCCTTAAGTGCTCGTTTTTCTTCGTCATGTCGTTTCTCCTTTGTCCGGATTCCGAATCATGCGATTCTTGAGTCCATCTTGATTATTTTTTTGTTGTCTTTCCAGCGGTGTGCTCGGTGGCACTCGAATCCACAGTTTTTAGAAATGACTCTTTTGCCCCTAAGGGCTTATATGTCATATTTCCGATCTTTTATTTTCGCGTCAGTTTTCTTTGAGTTCCGTGACCTCATGGAAGGTCATATTAGGGTCTTAGAGGTGTGTTATGCCTTGGGAGACCATTTTCTTGTTTCTTGCTTCCGCATCGAGATCTGTTACCGGGTCAACTTTTAGGTCACCATTGACGTACCAGGTTGAATAAAACTTGGGTCGTTACAGATTATTTTTAATACTATTTATTTTTTTTTTTTATAAAGAAAATTTTTAATGTCCATTTTTGTTTTGGGGTAGTGAAGTGCTACCATCATCTTCATCATTCTTCTCACCCTTGGACAGAATAATTCTAAAAAAATCCCTGTAAGACTGGTTTAAGAACGAAGTTGATTCATTTAAAAAAAAATTTAATGTCCATTTTTGTTTATATTTTCGGGTAGTGAGGTGTTACCTTCACCATCCCTCTCCTATAATTTTATATACTGGTTTAATCTTGATTCAAACTTGTCTTATATTGTGTACGTATGTATGTAATTTTATATACACATGCCTATATACCTATCTATATACATTGTTTAATTCAATTCTATTAAACAATTCCAAATCAATAATGAAAAAAAAAAAATCGTTCAATTTTAAAGTTTATCGAAACAGTAAATTTGAAATTAGATTGGTGGGGTTGCTATACCATGAAATTAATTCAAAAATGGAAAGTGTGAAGTATAGAGGGTCAGATTATCTGCAACAAATCACAAATCAGGAATGAAACCGAAAAAGAGTAGATCAAATCACAAATCAGGAATGAAACCGAAAAAGAGTAGATCAAAGAGAAAAATTAGCTACGACAATACATGTGTCACTGTATAAATAGACAAAACTGACCCAAAAATAGGCATCCAACATTGGGATTATTGAGCTCTAAAGCTTTTTCGCCTAACTAATAACATAATTCTCTTTGTTTATCTTTGCATGTTCGTGTGTGTTTATTGTTCTCACTTTTTTCGCACTTACACAACCCAATCCCAATCCAATTTCAATTTTAATTAGGGGCAATTAAACATATGTCAAAATTTATATATATATAATTTAGATAATATTTAGGTCAAATCGTTAATGTGGACCAATAATAAATTAATAAATTTTTTTTATTATCAAATTAGAAATGGTGTTTAAAATTATGAATACCAAATCAAGGACGGGGCATGAATCCATTATTTTTAATTTTTTAACAACATTATTTTTAATTTGATAAGTAAGTAATATACCCACCATCTCTGATCCGACAAACACTACCAAAAGCACAATAGATGTGAATATGTAAATCAAAAATGCTTTTTATTCATTCCAACCTCAATATCCAACCTAAGCAATGTCCTTTGGGCTTAAATTCAAATTTCTTTGGGCCTCGCTGTTTTGAGAAGTGGTTAGGCTTTCATCGGGGTCTCTGGATTAACTTCATTGTTTTGGGCCCAGCACAGTCTTAAGTTGGACTTTCTTTTTGGGTTCAAAATAGCTGATACTGTGTACAAATATATATATACACACAGTGTGAGAGACTCAAGAGAGAGAGAGAGAGGGAGAGAAGGGGCAGAGTGTGCTGTGTGTTACTGTGCATTTTGAGACTGAAGAAGCAAAATCTCCGTGTTTGGTAGGTCTCTCTCAACAATTTAGCCTTACATTTTTAGGGTTTTTTGTTTCATTGTTATTGATTTTATACTTTGTTCTCATTTCACGAATATGTGGAACTCTTTTTGAATGCAACTAAATCATAAGAACTAAACCCTTGAGAACTTGGTTTTTCACATATGGAGAACATTTGAAGACTATAAACTCCAACATATTAGTTTAAATTTGGTTTATTCAATAATTTTATGTTGTACATTTTGTTCAGAGGCCATTTTTTACATTATAAACTAGTTGCTTTATTTGGTAAGATGTACATTTGATTGGTACTCATATTTATGGCTTGATTTAATCTGAAAAACTGAGCAATAGTAGAATTGATTTTGAGATGAGACAAGTTGGAACAGTTATAATTCATGACTACATTCCTTTAAAATTTCATAAACTTTCAACATGGTGTGTTCTATTTATACTGAGTTACAACCCTGAAGTGAATGACTGACTTTAGAAAATAATTCAAGGGGCTAATGGTGTTGAACAATTATGAACCAGATATGGTTTAAAGCATAGGAAGTCTATTTTCTGAAAGTGTAGACCTTGTCACCGTAATCCTAATCGATAATTCCTGGTAATTTGAAGGTCGGTAGGTCAATTTTGTTAATAACTTGGCAGTCTGGTGACAATTCTGAAATTTGTAAATAATTATAAAATGAGATTTTTGGACTGTATAATTATTTTTCCAAGAATTATGGATGATAGAGATTTGATTTCCTGATATATGAATTTAATAATTTATGCTTTCTGATATTTGAACTTCAAATATAGAGAGTTTGAATCTAAGTTTTGTGATCAATGATAATTCAATTTGGATTGGTTACACTTTGGGATGGTTTATAGTCTGGGGTTCAGGATGTTGGATGGTGGTATCAGATCTTAAGGATTACTTATAGTGGGAGTCTGTGAAGCTAATGAAAAAAAAAAGGAAGTCTAGTGCGTAAGGAGTATGACTTGTCTAATAAGATTGAACAAAAATAATTATGATTATATTAATTACAAAATAAGTTAGATAATTTTGAAAATTTTGTACTTGACTACTTATATAGAAAGTTCATAGAGAAATGAGGCTGATGAGGGAAAGACAAATAGATGAGAGATTAAAGAAGATGGATGAACAAATGAGCAGTGTTGTTAAAGGCGCGCCTAGGCTCGAGGCTCAGGTTTAGCGCCTGTTGTCATCCCAGGCTCATTGATGTTTACCAGGCGCACGCCTCGGTTGCGCCTCGTCCTGTTTGTGAGGTGCGCCTACGATAGAAAGAAAGCCCAAGCATACGATAGAAGGAACTTTTGTTCAAAAGAATAAACAAAAAAGAAAGCCCAAGCATACGATAATAGGAACTTTTGTTCAAAAGAATAAACAATTAAGAAAGCTGAAGAGTCAAAGTGTTAACCAAACAGCGATAGAATGAGATTGTGAGACGAAAACAAAGCCCTAGTTGAAGAGATGAACGACGAAGCCACGTCAGTCTTTCTCTTTTTTCTCTCCTCCTCTACTTTTCTCTCCTCTCTTCTTATCTTTGTTTACATCTCTCTCTTCATCTAGTTCTCTTCTCTGTGTGTGTGTGTCTTCTTTTTTTTTTTTTGTTAATAGATTTATTTCTTTTTGTGCTTTGTTTTGCCATTAAAAAAAACACATTTTGCATTGCCTTTCAAGAAAACAAATCTGTGCTCTATTTTATGGTTGTTGGATGCTTGTATAGTTGATAGATTTACTTTTTTATATTTGATATTAATTTTTAGAATATTGATATGACTTATGAGGTATGAATGTTATTATAGTGGTTTAAATTTTCAATTGTGCACCTCACTTCACTCAGGTGCGCGCCTCGCCGTGCGCCTCGCGCCTAGGCTCCAAAGGACCTCTAGCGCCTTGGTGCGCCTTGGGCCTTTAATAACACTGCAAATGAGAGAGATCAAGACATCTGGTGTGGATATGATGTGTACTGGGCTTGTTTGGATTTTGATAGGAGATGAGCTTAATGGGCCTAGCAAATTAAAACAAAATATGGGTTGTTTGGCAACTAAAGAGGGATTGAATAATGGTCCTCATCAGAGTGAAAAACAAATTTAACTTAATGGACTGCACTTTATGGGCTTGAAAGCTTATCTGAGTGGAATAGGATAGTGTTGAGGCTCGACACATTTATTAAACGAGACTAAAGTATAGCTCAATCTTGGTTCATTTACTTAATGAATTGAGCCTGATCCGAGCTTTCGTCGAGTTGTGATTGAATTGTTCACGAAGAGTTTGGTTCATTTGCAAACCTTTGTGGACATTATATTTCGACATTGTTTTTGGTCATTGAGAGGCATGATAGAGGCTTGGAGAGGTTGTACAGTGAGTTCCCAAGCTTGTGACTTTTGGAGGGTGGCATCCTTGTGTTTGTGGTGGTGCTTATGGAGGGAACGGAATAGGAGATCCTCCGATGGCTAGGAGTCTCCTATTGGGGTGGTGAAATTCTCGATTATTGGTTCTCTTTTTTGTTGGTTTCTTGGGAGAAATTGTAAATCGTTTGGGGAGAGAGTTTATTTTTGGGACATATTCAGAGTTTAGGGGTCCCATTTGGTCCTTGTGTAGCTTTTTGGTATGCGTTACCCTTTTGAAAGCTTTCTAATGCTATCTTACTTATATTTCAACATTGTTTTTACTGCAACATAATTGAAAGCTTCTCAACTGTACAAACAATTTGAACAAAAAACATATGCATACATGTGTAATGTCATCTGAACACATACAATCTCATGAATGAAATCCACTGGATAGTGGGTCTAGACCTTTGAAATAAACAATTTATTTGGGATATCTACTGCCTAGTTGTGACCCCATTCTAGAGAAGCTATTCTTATCATTGTGAGGACATCATTGAATTGGATTTAGCTATGTTTTAGCATGCCTTAATTTTTCCCCCAAATATTTTGGATTCTATGATTTAATAAAGAGGTGTGCATATTAAATGCTAAAACTCAATGTACCATGATAAACTTTAATGATACTGATCTCTTAGGTTGGTTGATTGAGGCATGAAATTGATTTTTATTGGGTTTGGATTGGTATTTTAAATACGAATTCATAAATGGTTTGCATATGGATGTTCCTTAAAAATCTGTCTTGAGTCCGAGTTTGGTTTGTGTATGGGTAAGGCATGGAATGGATGTGTTTTAACTTGAGATCCAATCCAATCTGAATCCCATTTTATCGATTTAGGATTCATTGGGATTATCTATGGACTGCTTGGGTTGGATATGAATTATGTCAGTAAGAAATGACTTGGATTTGGATTTGAATATGAACCAAGACACTTAGATATGGATTTGGACTCGGATTTACATAAATTGTTTCAGATTTGTTCCATTTCATGTCTTAGGATTGACAGATGTTGCATTCTATTTTTGAAATAAGTAATATGGAGGTTAAAGAACAAGTAAATTGATGCATGAGTTTGAATGAAAAAAACTGATACATATTAACAATTCAAATCATCTCAATGATGCCTTGTTCCAAGATATTTGATTGCATAAATCTTCTTTAGGACAGTCATATTGTTGGCACTTTTTATCATCAAAACATGTGTTAAAATTTGTTAAGTTGATTTGGTTTTGTTTGGGACAGTCTAGGATCATTTATCTGTCATGTTTAATTACCTGCCGCTTTACTTGAAGAGAGATGTGGTTGAAGACTTTTTTCAATGACCAAATGGAGATAATCTTAATTTGATCACACACACTAGGACAAGGCAAGTTTGACTGTGTGTGGCTTATGATTAATATGGTTAAAATTCACTTGATTGACCATAGAGGACTTGTAAACTCCTAAAAGGTTTTTTAAAAAATTCAAGAGTAAAATCGTATTCTGAAAACTTAGCTTTGGGTGGACTTAGAGTCAATACCTATTTAAGGTATTTTATTCAGTCATAAGTCCTTTTATACTTAGAATTTTGTGATGGTCCTTACATGTCTAGAAATTTGGCTCAATAAGCTTTTCAACAATATATTATTCCCCTAATATTGAGTTCGTTTGACCCTTCAATGAAGCCCGGAAAGTCAAGTTTGATGCCTAATCAGCAGTGTACATGAAAGTGGAACCAATTCTACTTTTGGCAGAAAATTAGAATCGATACAAGTTACTTGTTGCTTTAGAACTGACTCAATTTGTTGGGGATGCGATTTTAACGTGTTTTTCACGCGGTTTCATTCTGAATTGGACTCTAACTCAACCAAAACATGTCCAATCATTCCAAATGAATTTATAATCAGTCTATGGCTTGAATAAGCTTTCTAAAGCTTATAAAAATACGTTTAAGGGTTACGCAACACACATATAACACCTTTAAGACTTAGTTTGATTTCTCTCACACATATGCACATTATTGTGGGGTTTGAGGGCATATTGTGAGTGAAATTGTTTCGTTTACGTATATAATTTCGGAGGCTTGTTGTTAGAACCTTAGAACTTTTGTGTAATCAATCAAAGTTGTTCTTGGAGTGCTAATTAGAGATTTTAAAGAGCAATTAGCTTCTCAGATATCTATCATAGAAAAATACTTCACAATTCCGCTAGGGTTTATTCTTTTCATGGAAAATGAGGTTCTGTTTGCATGGCCATCTATTTGGCAACAAATCAGTGGTGAAGCAAGATGTGTGAAGCCAAGGAGGTTGGGGGTCTGGGTTTTAAAGATGTGGAAGCCTTTAATCTTTGAATTGAAATGCCTTTTTCACTCATAAGACAGGGATACAAATGAGCAGAGGTTAGATGGGAATTTTTGCAGTAGCTTATGAGGCTTATGGGTTTTGGTCAAAAATGGATCACCAAGTCATAGAATGACTTCATTCAACCTGGAAGTAGATTGTCAATGTGGTGATTGCATTGACGCGGGAACCGAGTTGGTGATTCCGAAGGCATTGTAGTCTTGAATGGTTGGGAACACTATACTTAAGAGGTAAATCAACAGCGGGTGATTCTGAAGGTACCAAAATTCGAGACTCGCATATTGGTTGCACTCTTTCTTCTTAATTGGTGATTCTGAAGGTACCAAAGTCACATACAAAGTTGTAATAATTATCGTGGTATTAAATTAATGAGTCACACTATGAAACTTTGGGAGAGAGTGATTGAACAACGCCTAAGGCGAGAGACTGAAGTGTCGGAAAGCAATTTGGATTCATGCCGGGAAGGTCAACGATGGAGGCTATTTACTTATGGTTTTTATCGATTTGGAGAAAGTCTATGATAGGGTAGCTAGAGGTCTAATATGGAGGGTTTTAAAAAGGAAAGGAGTTATAAAGGAATACATTGACACAATAAAGGACATGAATGATGATTGTGCGACTATAGCTAGAATGCCTGTGGGGAAACAAGTGAGTTTCCAATTACTGTAGGCTTAAATCAAAGGTCAGCATGAAGCCCATACCTTTTTACGTACTTATGGATGAGCTGACAAGACACGTCCAAAGTGAGATTCCATGGTGTATGTTATTTGCTGACGAGACTAGAGAACGAGAAGGGGGATGGTTTAAATTCAGGAGTGCATTTAGAATATCGGGTGAGAAGTGTATTCCCATACGATTGAAAGGGAAGTTCTATCAAACAGCTATTAGGCTAATTATACTTCATGGCACAGAATGTTGGGCAGCTTCGAAACAACATGTGCATATAATGCATATGGTGGGTGTGGCGGAAATGCGAACATTGAGATGATGTGCAGTGAGACTAGAAAGAATAGATAAGAAATTATCACATTCGGGAGATGGTTGGAGTAGCACAAATCGGAGATAAATGAGATAAAATCGGTTTAGATTGTTTGATCATATGTGAAGAAGACCTTTAAATGCGCTAGTTAGGAAGAGTGGCATAGTTCACATTGAGGGTAATACTAGGCGAAGAGGAAGATCAAAGTTAATGTGGCTAGAGTTAGTAAGGAAGGATATGATACCATCATGTAGTTTAACCGAGGATATTGCCTTAAATAGGAGTGGAATTGAAACATAGGATTGATGTAGCCGACCCCAAATGGTTGGGAAAAAGGCTTGTTATTGTTGTTGAAGGTATGAGAATTCTGAAACCAGAATCTGAGACTCACACATAGATTGTACTCTTTCTTCTAACAGATGATTCTGAAGGTACCAGAATGAAATGAAATTCTATTCTTGATCTATAATCAAACTAACGCTGAGAGGCTTTTCTTTTTTGTACTTGATCTCCATAAAGAAGTTATTAAATTGTTTTTAACCAATTAAACCATGAGATATAGGTTAGTCAAGGGATAGAACTACAGGTTCAAATAAAGATGGATAAAAACAATTAACCTCCCTCTTTTATCTCTCCTCACTTCCACTATCCATTCCTTCGTCTCTTTATTGCTCATTTCCCTTTCTTTGTCATGTATTATGCTCATTGGTCATACAATGCCCATGCACCACTTTCTCGTTAGTCATTATTCAAGGACAGTCTAACTAGAATGGGAAATTCTTTTAATACTTTCAAAAAGCTTTCTTACTGTTGGCAGGCCTGTGGTACCTAAGGTCGGCCACCTGTTATTTTATGTGCCTTTTTCATGAAGTTCTTCTTACCTTCCAACCAATCTAGTTACGTTGTACATCCCTTTGCATAAATCGATCAACATGATTTACATTAATGTATTTGTTAGTTATGTGATTCATATGTGGTTTTGTCTACATATAAGATGTCAACCAAGATCAGTCTATGAATGAAAAATGCACCATTTCCTCCAAGGTTACTTGCAGTGCTCTATGATGTGCTGTTTCTTGCTTCAGTTTTTTTTTATTTATTTGTTATTATTATTATTTTTTTTTGTATAGATTGGCAAGAAACTCAAGCACCCACTTTGCCCCTATGGGGACTTGAACCCTCGACCTTCTACTTTGGAAGGTGAGGAAGTACCACTAGGCTACAGCCTTTGTTGGTCTTCAGTGGTTAGTTTAGTGTTCTTCACTTCATCTATTAATATATAAAGGTAGCTGTTGGTGGACATTATATATTATTTTATTATTATTTTGGGTTATGCTGCAAAACATTCTCCTAGGAAAAGGTGAAAGCTTCAACATTGAAGATCAGCATACAAACATACAAAATTTAATTTGTTTCCCATCCTGAGGCACAGACAAGTGTACAACTTTTGGCTCAAACTTCTTGTACATACATTTGTACATTTGGTCAAGGAGTTCCTAGTTTTATTCTAACCATCCTTTGAAATGTCAAATATTTGAAATATTGAGAAATGTCTTTGTCTTGTTTGTAGAATAAGCTGTCCCGAGGGCTTGTTTTGAGCCACTACATTCAGTAACATCACAAGCTGGTGCTGAAGAACTTGGGGAGGACAACAGCAGAAGCCAAATTAGCAGAGACTAACTACGAATATTAAACAAGCCTAAAGGGAGTACTGTGGTCATACCTCAATTTTGTACTGCCATCTGTTCACGTCTCTTTGATTTTATTATTAAACATGGCTAGAAATCATGACTTACCACGATGTTGATCCTCATATAATAGAATTTATGCTAACTATTGATGTGCCGACTCGTCTAAATCAAGTAGCTAATGGGACAACATTTTAATCTTTGTTGTTATGGTGTGATTAAGGCTTCATGATCATCGTTCTTCTTTCGTAGTTGGAACTACACTATTGTTTCTGAGCATCAATTATTTCCTAAAATGAGCCATGCCGGAGAATATGCAATGTCCTCACTCTATATTATATGAAAAATTGTCTAATGGAGTAGGAAAATGTTGATGTCACTTTGACATTGTTGTGTGCCCCATACATAGTTTGATTGTTATGTCAATTTTGATTGGTGGCATTTTGTTGGAGGAGATTCCATTATTGGTTACTGAAATCCTAGGGTTTGATAAGGGAAACCTTGGTCTTCCAAACACAACCACAGAAAGGATGATGTTGAATCTTCTGATAGGATGATGTGGTCCATTTTAGTTTGAATTAAGACAGGGTTAGATAGAAATGGGGTCCGAAAACCACCGAAAGCTGAAAACTACCCCCAAGTTGTCTTAGGAGACATATTTTGACATCAAAGAAAATAGGATAAACCTATGAATTAATAATAGGCAACTGTAAAATCATAGGGTTTAAGGAATTTTCTCACAAATCATAGGGTTTAAGGATTGTACTTCTGCTTGCAACACTTTCCCATTATCTCATTACTGTGCATCTGTGGAAAGTTGGAAACTGTTGATTTCTGTATATAATTATTGGCTGTTACAGCTTGAATATCCAGGATTTTGACATGGAAATGGAATTTTATGCTTCAATCATAAAGTATTATTTACAACGGTAAGGTCACTTCATTGTGACTCGGAGATTATGAGTTCGAAACAGAGATAAGACGTCACCGAGTTTGTCCTTTTTTTATTTGAAAGTATTACTACAGGAACTGAAAACATGTCTACATGCCACTGAGATACATCATATTGTTGCCGTCCCATTTTCCAATCTGTCAGTGAGCTCAGCAATCCATTCCTTTGATTCCTAGAGCAACGTCTTTCATAGGCAACTCTGCCCTCCATTTTTATTGACTTTTCAGCCCTTCAACTGTCTAAACAATTCCTGTGAACAGTTGCCAAAAGTTTCTAGTCGGTTGGACTCGATATGTGGCTATGAGCTAGTTGCCGTGCTGCTCCGCAACTCATGCTAAACACGTCATTCTTTTTATTTTTAATTCACGCAAAACTAAATTTTTTCGAATTTCAATTTTTGGGACGGGATTCAGTATTTCTGAACTCAATAATAAAATTTTCAAAGTGATTTCTCTTCTACTTGCAAAAATGCTGTTCAGGGTTCAAATTTTCGGAATAGGATTAAAGTGGATGTGTGTCTCTCTTGGTTTCAAACTATCGCAAGTTTGGAATTTTATTTAGAAAAATAATTTATATATATATATATAGATGTCACTGTTGCAGAGATACCAAGCAACCCTATAAACTTAAATTTTTTTTTTTCCCAAACGAACGGCATTTAAAGAGTGGTTGGTTTTGGAAAGGGTAAGCATGCATGATTGAATAATACATTTCAAATTTCCTATCTGGTAGGAAATGTTTTTATAAAATCTCGAAATTGCCTATCCCATCTTCCAAAAAAGTCCTACATGTCCTTGTACAATTCTAAGAGTTGTGGGGTACCCTGTTCATGTGATTGACCTAATCAGCTGAGGCTACAAACAATTGTGCTCTGAGTGAGTGGTCTATTATGGCGGACTGCCCACGTGATTGACAATATAAAGCCCCAAAGTGAGCAATCACCACAACCCAATCCTCTCTCTCTCCTCTCTCTATCTATCTCTCTCTGTGTCTCTATCTCTCTCATGTCATTTCCTCATGAAAATGAAATATATATTCAGAAGGAAACGTGAAGAACTCCAAAACCCATAGATGATTCTAAACCACCGTCACAAGAAACTCTGGTCGGCTGTTTTATATATATATTTGTCTGCTAATTTTTTTTCTTTCATATATAGTATTTTTCTATTTCCCTTTCTATTATTGCATGTATTAGCTTAATAATTGTAGACAATCAGCACTTAATTAAGCTTTAGTATATGCCGGCCTTTGGTCGTGCAACGTCCACTTGGAAATTTATGTAGGCATTCGTGGCCCACATTTTAGCAAATGGTACCATCCGTATACGTGTATTTTGACACTACGCTTTTATCATGAACCGCCTAAAAAAGATGAATAATATGGATGGTGATTACTATATTATAAATTGTATTTTTTTGCTTAGATTAAATTATTATAATTATAGTATAATGGGTGAGTCAACTACATATGTGCCTGTGCATGTTTGACGTGTGTAAGACACATTAGGGTAATTTAATTAAAAACTATTAAGAATGCAAAACATTGTTTAACTTAATTTAGGTCATAGTTTACAGAGTGGTTAGAGGGTGTTAAGGAACTTGTCTGCATAATCTGTCTCATGTCCAACAGTGTTATTGAGAATATATCTTTAGAATTTCAAAGTATATGCGACGTATGTATACCACAAACATTGATTTTAGGATAAATTATAAGGATCTCTCATGAGATTTGGACAAATTTCACATGAGTAGACCATTCAACGTTTATTACTTTGACATTTCCAGAGATTTGATATGTGTGCTCAACAACACTCCTAACATTTTCTTTTTGGTAGATTGGTTTTTTAAATTTTATAAAATGACAATTTTACTTTTTACTTGTATGAAAATTAAGGTATTATTAATTTTTCACACTTAAAGTCATTTTTTGACAACCGCATACGGATTTAGGAAAGGTCAAAATTATAAATGCGGAATAGTGTGTAATTTATTCAAATTTTAAGAGAGATCAATGTAATTTATCATTGATTTTAACATGCTAGGAATCCAATACTTTATAATGGACTTATACTAATCAAAATCCTCATTAGTGATTTGTATAATGCGATCCGTTGAGTTCCAACTCGTCGCTCCACCATGGAATAGTGTACCGGAGAGGATGTTGATTGGCTTGTACCATGGCATGGGCCACACATGGAGTTGTTTTCCTACTCTCTCCTAGTAAGGTACCATAAACAGCAAAAACTTGTAAGAAGATGCAAGAAATTGTATAGTCAATAATTCATATTGATAAATAATTTTTAAAAAAATGTGACGGTATTGTCCGAATGATAAAATATTAGGTTGTAAGTGCCCTCACCCTCTGATTCTAAGTTCGACTTTCCTGCACCTAAAAAAAATAACTTTCTTAAACTGGGACATAACTTATTATAAAATGGTGTCTTCCTTGCACAAGAATCAATGTGATTCCGGACTCTTCATTTCTCTCAACCTTCACCTACTATTCTTGTAATTTCAACTTTAGTTAACCCTGTTCCCCAACAGAAAATTATACCTAATTTTCCTGGTTGTTTTGTTTGTTTGTTTGAAGATAGGTATGGTAACACATGCCGCATAATTTATGCTCAGAATGTCTGTTCTTTTAAACAAGATTTGTCAATAACTTGCAAGGTGTTGGTTGAGTGTGTGACAAGTTTCTCTCAGAGATTTAGAAAAGAGTATCAAGGAATTAGGTTCTCTTAAAGAGTAAATTTGCCTTTTATAGCTTCAAAGAGCTTAAGGACCTCATGAGGAGGTGATCTTGTAAAAGATCTTATTCTTATTCTTGTGCTTCCCTTAAAAGGATTCTCTTTTCTCAAAGTTATATGCACACACTTGTATATACATGGGGAATCCATTCAAGCAAAAGTTATTTTTACAACCATTTATATTACCCTAGATAGAAAATCAAATTAATTTTTTTTTCAATATTGCCTCTAGTAGGTTCGAACACTCGACTGTAGACAAGTTAGTAGTCTAACGATATTAGACTTTTACTTATTAAAGGAAGGTCAAAAATTCAATCATAAGTAAAAGTATGAATACTAATTAAGAAAAAATAATATTTAATACAATCTTGATTAATGTCCATTGATAGTGATTTAAAGTTGTTTTGTCACCTTGATTAATAGTAAGAGGGAGGTCACAAATTCGATTCGCTTGAATACCAATTAAGAAAAAATAATAATACTACAATCTTGAATAACGTCCATTGGAGTGATTTAGAGTAGTTTTGTCATCCAATGGTTGGATTGAAAAATTTTAGATTTAGATAGAGGGTTGTAACATGCAAGTTATTATGTCTTCTCTTTCCTTCCCCCTTTCCATCTCTTTTTCCTTTTCTCATCCTTTTTCTTTTGATGACATTCCCTTGAAAATCACACCCCTTTTCTTAAAGAAAAAGTTTTGCATGGTGGGATATAGTTAAACAAAGAGTAGTAAGAAGGGTTTTCCACTAATTCTGAAATTTGGGGATTGAGTACATAAATAGCACCATCTGTTGACATTTTCTCCTCTCCAAATTAACCCAAAACATTGGATGCCGATTTTCTTTTTCCTCTCAATTCTCTCATATTTTTCCTTTCTGCAGAAGAGAGACACCTAAATGAGTGACCAAACATCATATTTTGTGATGGTTATTCAATTTTTTTTGGAAGCTCAACTAGTGATACAAGGAAAACAAGAAACTATGGAGGGTAGTCTTCTATCTAAGGTTTCCTTCTAAAAGAGGAGGAGAAACTATTGCAACTACTGCTTTCTTCATGATCACCTGATTCATGAGCAGAGACCTCTGTGATTCCACTCGAATTCGAAGCCGACGAAGCAGAGCAACCCTTCATATCAGTCTTGTCCTTGGCCATGAAATCATAGAAAACAGGATTACCATTCCTCACTCTACGAACTCTATTGCAACTATCGGATTGTGTGACCATCTCATCATCATTTTTGCTACTTCTTTTCTTCAAAAATATGCGGCAAAGTACCCAATTCTCCGATTGCACCTTAGAACTCTGCGAAAAACGGAGCCAAAATCAGTGAACTGAGTGACAAATTGAAGAAACAAGAAATGGGTTATAAGGGCTTGTTGAATATTGATGGAACTGAAGTCTCACCGGGGTAGAGTCCTTCTCCGGAGACAGTGGCGGTTGTTTCAGCTCCGGCGAGGCGACCGTGGCGGTTGTTTCAGCTCCGGCGAGGCGGTATTCGTGCATGATCCAATCAGTTCTAGTCCCACTTGGAGGCTTCCCTCCGTAGAAAACCAGAGTCTTCTTCATCCCCACAACCTGGTTGTTGCCCTTGGAAGCTACGATTCGCTTGTCGATTCCGGTGGCCTTCCAGTAACCGGAGACAGTTGCTCTGTTTGATCTGTTCCCATTTGGGTATTTGGCTTCCCTTGTGCTGAAAAAGTACCTCTCTTGCTCCCAATCACCTAAACACAAATAACCCATGTTTCTATCAGAACAAGTTGTTTCAGACAAAAATGATTGATGCTATGTTTGGAATTGGAATTGAAATTGAAAAACTAAATATATATATATATATATATATATAGTTCAAAGTTGAACTAATTTGTGTACTAGCTTGAGAATTTGTTACTAAACCAAGACGTCCAATAACATATTCCAACTTCAAAGTAGTCCAATTGAGCCGCTTTGGTGGTAAATTCAGCTCAATGTGAGCTCCTATGTCTTGTTATACTATCTATTGAATCCCAATAGTATTTTTGAATTGGGACAAAGTTATATTTGAAAGCACGAAATCCAGACTTGGAATTAGAAAAATGAACTAAATGTCCTCCAATTCTAAGTAGCCGGGTTCAGTACTTCCAAACGCAACACAGTCTTTTTTTTTTTTTTTTTTTCAGAGAGATTTTAAGTATGTCCATAACTAATTACCTGGCAAATCCCAAGGATCGGCCTTGCAAACATCAACCTCCGGGATGATTGAAGCAGGCAAGGGACACAAAAACACCTTCCGTTTCAAGTACTGGACAACGAGCTCTTCGTCAGTAGGATGGAATCTGAAACCAGGAGGTAACCTCAGCACACCATTCTTAACAAAGCTGAGCTTCTCCATATCTGTTCTTCAAAGCTCAAACGCAAAACCCAATTGAGCTTTGAACAATTTGTAGCAACAATTATAAAGTAGACCTCTCACAAATCACAACCCAATTAAGAGGAGAATAATAAGTATTTGTGAAATGATAGGTAACAAGAAAGGATAACAAGAACAAGAGGGAACAAGAACAAGAGAGAGAAAGAGAGGGGGAAGGAAAAAGGTGGAGGGGTGGGTATGTGAGAGAGAGAGGGGAAGTGAGGGTTCTTTATAGTAATGGGGTTGGGGGTGTGTTTGAGGAGGGAAGGAGAGGGTCTAGAGAGAGAAAGGGAGAGGAGAGAAAGACACAGAGGAATAGAATAAGGACGAAGCGTTTGGCGTAAACTAGACTCAATCTCGTTTGCTTTGACGCATTTTTTTTGTCTCTCCGAAGAGGTTAATTCTCTTGACGAATTAAGACAGAAAATCAATACAACTAAAAACTAAGCTTTGTTGCGTTCGAAATCCGACTTTTTCTATGGGAATAACCGTAGCTGTTAAACATCTCTTGAACGTTTTCCATCCCTTCCAATCACACTTTTTCTTTTCTTTCCCTAATATTTATTTTACATATAAGAATACTACAAAATTATCTTTATAATACTTAGTACATCATTAGTGTACGGAGTGTGAATTGGAATTTCCTTCACTAAATAAATCTATGATTTAAATTTTACTCGTGTCATGGAATTGATATGAAGTAGAGTTTGAGAAAACTTAACAATTAAAAAATATATATTACAAAATAAAATTACAAAATTACCATTATAATACTAAATATATCAATGTATTGTGGGTGAGTTCGAATTTCCTTCCCTAAACATGTCTAGGACTTAAATTTTACTCAGGTCATGAAGTTGATATGGATGAGAGTTTGAGAAAACCTAAATAAAATACTGTAAAAAATAAAAAAAAAATTAATGTGTAGGTAATTCTTGGATAGTGGCTTTACCTAATTACTGGTATGAAACGGGTGCTTTATGTGGGACCTTGTGAAGGGTATTTTGGTCATTAGAGGAAAATAGTACTAACACCAAAAAAGGTAGTACCAGTCCCTGCGGGCCTCGTGAGGGTGGTGAAGTCACCTAATGTCATGCTGACAGCTGGAGCTCACCGAAAGCCCATAAATGTGAAGGTGAAAGGTGAAAGTACGGAAGTACCCCACGAGTTGGGATATATGATGATACAGTTGGGTTGCTTGTGGGAGAGGGGCAAGAGTTGTTTGGTTTGGTCCTTCCACTCTATTGTATGGGTTACCACAACACCTCACGAAAGTGTCTTTACCATTGGCGGCAAAATCGTGTGGAAACCCTTTGCAACAGGATTGGGATCAAAAAGGGAGTTGGGTAGGGAGGAAGGACACCTCCATGTGGTCCTCTTGGCTTTGCTAGGGTTTTGGGTGTCCCAAAATTGGAATATTCAAATGAGTAAGTATAAGAGTTAATAATACATATAATAACCACAAGGGTAGGTTTATTGTGAACTAACTCCCACGAATTCATTGAAATTACATTGTGCCCTTGTTGTTTCAAGAATTATATTGTCTTCCCTTGTCAAAATTTCCATCGTGAAAATAATGCTTTTCAATTACGTACTAAAATAAAATTGATATTATAAGGATAAAATTGATATTCTGAATTACTGACGTCAACAAAAGTCGTCGTTGACCGTTAAGAGAGAAAGGAATCTGTTTCAAAATTCCAGATGAATGAAGAAATTAGTGCGAGAAGATGAATTATTAGTCTAACTATGACAAACATTAGATGTTGTCATCTTGTAATAAGATAATAATTTTAATTCCCATTAAAAAGGGCCTAAGAATTAGTAAAACTAAAATTGAATATATGACATGTAAATTTGATAAAGTAAAAAGCGATGACGATATACATATCACAGTTTAAGAGCCAATAATCACTCAAAAGAACAACTATCGTTACTTAAGATCAATACTACAAAAAAATGGAAAAATAGATGGTGATGTAGCAAGTTAGATTGGAGTTGGGTGGACAAAATGGAGGCAAGCAAATGATATCCTTTGTGACAAACGAATACCAAATGGTTATTAGGCGAAAATGTTGTATATAGAGTGTTGGGCATTGAGAAAGACACAAATACTATGCACCTATGTAGCGAAAATAAGGATGCTATGATGAATAGAATCACTAAAAGAGATAAGTTAAATAACTATTGTGTGAGGGGAGTTCTAGGTATGGTGCCCGTAAATGATAAAACCAACGTAGGTCTGATGATACACTTATAAAAAGAGCAAGAATTATTTGTGTAGAAGGTGAGTGACGAAGAGGTTGACCAAAACTCATATGGGATGAAGTAATTAAGAATGACTATAATAGAAAAAGAAAATTCATGCAGTCTATTCCATCTTAATGAGATGAAGACAATGATGATGATGGTGATCCTATTAAAAATATTTAAATTATTGGCATTCAAGACAAAATGAATAAAAGTATGCGATTTGGAGTTGTTACTCTTGTTAGAGTGCATTTCGACGGTCGACCATGTCCGCTCCAATTCCTCGAAAAAAAGGCCTTTCAATACAAACTACGTCAGTAACAAACAAGGGAAGAATTTCTAACAATAAAAAGAGAAGTTTTGAGAAGTGTTTCTCCAATTTTTCCCTTCTTTCTAGACCAACTCGAGGTATGAAATCTTCATCTTAAGTCCAATCTAACTCGGAGTTTCAACACGCATGATCTCCTTAACAACTCAATTTATGGTCATCGCTTTTAGCTAGGGTTGGAAATTTAGGGTTGATAATTGGGTCAATTTAGGGTTAATATCACTTCAAGACTATTCTACCTCAAAATTGCAAAATTAGGTGAAAAAACTCTCAACAACATAATTGCCTTCTTAGGTAGTATTTTCAAAATAATAATTGTACAATTTGTACTTCCAAAAAAAATAAATGAGTCTTTCAAACTATTATTTTCTCAAACTTTGAAACTTGTTCATAAAATTGATCAAGGTCGGTTAACTTTAATTAGCAACTTTGGTTGGTTTTGAATACGTACTGAACTCAACTAAAATTTTATTTATATTTTTTTCGTCAATGATTGTGTCGAGTCTTAGAACAACTCAAAAATCACCACCGGACACCTGTAATCCTTCATCACCTATGCATTAGGCAATTATTGAAAAAATTTCTTAAAATATTTTTCCTCCCTATAACAAAAAAACTTCTTATTATTGAACCAAGCGCATCTAAACTCCCATCCTTCACAATGTGGGTACGATGAGACTTTGTGCCTACCATTTGGCTTTGTCACTCATCCAACCCAACTAATTTTGTACAAACAGCACTTGGCAATGGATGAGGTGAAGGGCATTTTGGGAATATCTAAAGTAAAAAGAAAAGTTTTGGATGTTTGGAGCTGAATTAAATTATTACATTCCTTTTGTTTTTGAGTATAGTAACTCACAAACGTGTGAGTCATAATTTCTGAAGACAACAATTAAAATGGAACGAAAATAATAATTAATTTTTCATTTTTTACAAAGCAATTGACTGAACTTCATCAATATCAACCAGAAGTACAATCAAAAGCAGCTGCAACTGTAACAGTGTACTTGGTACCTCAGCCAATGTCAAAAGCAGAGATTGACTTAACAAACAGGCAACTTTCTCCCCCCAGTCCCAAATCAGGCTTCTGTTGCAACAGAAAAGTATCACTCATAGTAAGGAGGGTGAAAATGTAATTGTAAGGAACAAATTTGATGACTATGTCATATCTTCATAAGAAATTTAAATGGCTATACTGTGCCATGGCCATAGTAAAATGGTACAAAACCAATTTCAAGATTAAAAAAAGGAGGTAAGGTTTGGACAAACTACGAGGGTAGACCGTTCAGTTTTTTATTACTTTGATCTTCTCTAAATTTATTTATCGGCAACCAGAAAATGACTGAGTCTGAAAAGTTAGTAATATCCTTATATTATATTGTTTTTTATACAAGTAAAGGGTAAATTGTTATTTTATAAATTTTGATCAACAAATTTGTTGGAAAGAAAATGTTAGGAATGTCATTAAGTAAAAATGAGAGCTTAAATGGTCTACCATGTGGAATATGCCCAAATCTTACCAAAAGAAAAGAAAAGAAAAATAAAAGAATATAGAATATTTAAACTTTTGCTAAATAGATGATACATATATAGCCAAGTTCAACCATCACAGTTAATGATACATGATCAATTTCAAGATCATATGCAATGTTGCAAAGGAGGCATTAAGATCCTCTAAAGATTCTCTCATGCTTAAAAGTTCAAAAATAAAATTTGAATGGCAACATTGTTCATTACAACATCTGAAAGCATAACTTGCAATATGTTCCACTAGAAAAATTAATGATACAGAATTGGTTCTAAGAGCACAGAAAATAAATACAATATAACTTTTCACTCCTCCGTGGTATATTACCATATGATGAATTAACATGAAATGCAAGGAAATGTTATAATTCTAATTTTAATAATTTTAATTCATAGAAGAAAAAAAAAACATAAATAAATAATTAAAATAATAGTAATAAGAAAAAGAAAATGATTAAAAGTAATGCTAATGTTATCCCATTATAAGGTGTATGCAAACATGGTGATAAGGTTGAAGTAGATATCTCCATTGTGGAGAGGCATAGGCCTAGAGATATCCTTGAAATTGACAATGAGCTGGAGATTCTTCATTGGCATCTCTTTCAATTTAGTAATAATATTTTCTTTTAAGAATTAAAAAAGGATAAAGAAAAAGGATAAAGTGCAAAATATACCCATAAACTATTGTCCTTTTGCAACTAACCCTCCTTATCTAAATAATGCCTTCTAGACTATTATTTTATTGCAATGAAAGACAAATTCATCACAAAAGACTATTTTACCCTTTCTCATTAAATTTATCATTTTTATCATATTATTTTTAATATTTTTTCTCTTATCTAAATATTAATTATACTATTTAACTTAATTTTATTATTAGTATCGATTTTGTAATAAAATGAAAAAAATAAATATATTTGTAACTACCATTTTCTAAAATGATTAACATATTAATAAAATTTTATTATTTATAATAAAACTTATTATACCCAATTTAAATTATTTTACCGTAGAAAAATACTTTCTTTTTCATACAATATATTGAAGAAATATTAATAAATCACTTAAATTAAAAATACCTCATTTTTCCAGTAATATATTCATGAAAAATTAAGAAATTAATTAAATTATTTAAAATTTTCTACTTAAGATTTTTATTTAAACAATTAATTTAAAATATTAAAGGTAATTTAGC